TCATCTGGATACATCTCAAAGAAGTCAGAGAGACCATCAGGCGTCTCCATAAAGATCTCTTCATCCAGTTCTCCCATCAGGAAGGCAGATACAGCATCCATCTGGTCAATTTCCCAGTCCAGAACGGCAGCAATGGCTAGAAGGAGCCTCCAGGTGGTAGTACGAGCGCCTGAGGCCTGGGTTTTGAAATAGTCGAGGCCATGGCGTTACATGAAGCCTCGTACAACCACCCTAGCCTTGTACCGAGAGGTGTTGCTGTCAGAGTCCCTCTTCCGCTTATAGACATTGCGGCTAGAGAGAGTTTTACGCCCAGCAGGCAGATCAGACCTCCACAAAGGAATGAAGGTATTATTGCGCAGCAATGCCCGTATCTCTGTGTGAGTGCCATCCAGCCATTGAGGTGCCTCGGCAGACTCCATGGCTTCCTTGTAACTAAAAGGCTCGTCATTATGGGGAAGTGCCTGATCAGGGTCAGAAGACGGCCAATTGGCATAAGATGCCTCGATCGTAACATGTGGAGATATGCCAGGGGTGGAAGACTCGGCCACGTAGTGGTTGTGAGTCCTCCGAGTGCGCCCTCCGGAGAGTACATTCTCTGGGTTAAGCCCTGATTGGATTCTTGACCTCGGAGCAGCCGTTGGGGCTACTTCTTGACGAGGTGGTTCAGATGATAGAAGAATCGAGTCAGCTAGAGCAGTACTAGGCTCAGGGTTGCTATATCCAGAGTCAGAATGATGACCATCATCATTAACAGAAGCGTCAGGGGACCCAAGAGGGGTCCCTAACGTGACAACTGGTTGGGGTGAATCATCTCTACCATCCCTTCCGTTATCTGACTCAATATATATATGCTGAGGATCGTGAGCGCCCTCTGGTGAAGACGGCGCTGGCAGATCTTCAGCATCGGGTCTGGTTGTCTCATAGTCATCGAGTGTACCACGGAAGTTTGGAAAGATGTGGATCAAATCCCTTGAAAGTACATACCCATCCAAAATCTCAAGATGGGCAGTAACTACAACCTTTCTCAGGTGTGTAAGATACACCTGGTACTGGTTGGAACCAAGGGAACAAAGAATACGACCTCTCCTTGCGTGTGGAGTGGTCTTGTCTCCCTTAGGGCGGCGCTGCTGCGGCAAATGGACCACAGCGGCCTGCCTGATTGACAGTAAATTCGTCAAATCAGGCTTGTTATCCTTTCCAGGGTTCAGATCGTCAAAGAAAACTTCAAAGGGAGTCTTCTTAACGCCCTGGAGGAAAGATGTATAGCTCACATTGAGCCTATCACATACGGCAGGTCCAACAACCGGCCAAAGGGCTTCAGGTAGCCCGGAATCCTTCATAATACTGCGAATGAGAGCGTGTATAACGCCAAAGGATCTCTCAGCCACTCCGTTCTGCTCGGGAGTGTATGGAGCGCTGACTTCGAACAGGATACCACGTTCAGCTCCCCATTGCTTGAATCTCGCGTATTCAGAACCACCATCCATTCGGAATCGCTTTGGATAACGCCCGTACTGGGTGTGAGCGTATTCACAGTAGCGAATGGCTTGGTCGGAAGCTTCCCCTTTCTTCTCGTGAGGGCAGTACTCCCTCAAACGAGACTTGCCATCCACAAATACGGTGGCATAGAGAGAACCATCATAGCCTTGGACAGAGTGCTTGGCTGTATCCATATGGACCAGGTCTAAAGCATGATCTGGATGTTCCTGCTCAACTCGAGAGACTAGGCGACGTAGATTGGACTCCAGACATTCCAGACAGGTGAATTCTTTTGCCAGCTCTTGTACATTCGGCGGCAATTCAATCCCTTTGGTGATACTGGCTGTCTTGATCAGGTCACCAATAGATCAGTGGCCAAGTCTTGTATGCCAGCGGTGGAGTAGTCTCAGCGCCACAGATTTGGCTTGAGAGGTTAGTTCCTTGGAAGAATCCTCGGATACCATATTGGTGAACACGTCCGGGGCTTGATTGATCCCGTATACGTCCTTCTGGACACTAAGGATCTCTGTCTGAACGTACATTCCCTGGTGGAATGATGCCACCCATGTCCCATGGGGGTCAAACAGATCGCGGATCATCAAATACCATCCTTGGCGATACATCTGGTCTCCCGAGAGAATGTTGATTAGAAAGGAAGGCACAAATAGTACTCCAGAGATTGTCCGAGTGACGGTATCACCGTTGGAGGTAATGAATGGTATCTCCACGTCGCCAACACCTTGAGGAGTAACAAGGCCTCCTCCAGTATTAAAGGGGACCAGGTCAGGGTCCATTCGAAGGCGAATAAACCACTTCTTGCTATTGCAAATAGGAACGGTAGAGCCTGTGTCAAACAGCCATGAGTCTGTGCTTGTCGTGGCATGAATGATGTCGATCAGATTGGTACTCGCTCCCTAGTTGGCGCTATGTGGTCCTTGAGTGAGGACAGATTGACTGGAGATGGCTTTATCGGCATAATTGCACCATTGAGCGGCGTCAGAAGCGCCAGTGCGTCCACTCTGGTGAGTGGGAGCGCTGCTTGAAGGCCTTCCATCTTTCCTAGCCTTCTCAGAGGCCTGGATAATCTGGCTGAGGATGCGTTTGTTGTATCCAAGGTGGCCCTTCTTCTTGTCAAGCTCTCTGCACTCATAGTACCAGATAGGATCCGTGGTATTGCTATTGGAAGAGTCCTGGTTGACTCCAGGGGTTCTGGGGCCATCAAGAGATGGGCAATTACTGCCTTTCCCCTTGTTTTTCCACTTGCTCTTGCCTTTACTAGGCGTAGCAGGCTTGCCAAAGTTGGTGGCAAAGGTCTCATCTTGAGCCTTGCGAATCTGTATCTCCTCCTGGAGCCGGTACAAGAGATTCTCGGTCGTAGGGAAGATTCCACGGTTATAATCTTTCGAGATTTCGCGGTAAAGGGTTGGAAAAGCCGTCTGAATAGCAGCCAGGAAATTGGCAATGCGAATATTCGGAGGATATGTGATATTTTGCCGCAGGACCTTGTCCATTAGTCTGCGGTAGTTGCCCACGAACTTGTCTCCATGGTCAGGGAATTGAATGGCAGCCAGTTCATCTATAACGGATGAAACTGCGTCAATTCTCGTGCCTGAATATGCCTGTCGCAAGGCTATCCAGATCTGACCAGGGTCAAATAAACCCGTGATACGAGAATCAGGGTCAGACTTGATGTTCTGGGTGATAGCGAGGTATAATTTTGACCTCTTGATGCTCAGACTAGCATCCAATTCAGGGGGCTTGGAAGAGGCTCCCGCGGAAGGTGTGGCTGGGGCGTCGACAGCTCCAGTTGTGGCCTTATATGGTTCCTTCTCGTCCGCCTTGATGACTTCAAGGATAAGAGACCAGAGCCCGAGAGTAGTGAGCAAATGCTCCATCGTTTGGGCCCAGACCTCCCAGTTCTCCTCGCCGACGAGCTTCTGATGGTCTTGGAGGCGAGGGATAGAGGTGGATGTAAAGGCGAGGGCCGTCTCTGGGGTGGATTCAGACATAATATAAGAAGGATAATACGTCGTAAGGCTAGCCTACAAATAAGGCAAAATATAAGCCAAGGAGCGACCTCTTTCTGTATAAAAAGAACAGTTACGACAGAGAAACACTTGAAGACTTGCGGCAATAAGGGTAGCTAGTCCTAGAGGCGCGCAAGCAGAAAGAGGGTGATCAGAATGAATCAGACCAGTAGAAAAAGCTTAAAAGGTAAGGGCTGCTGGAGGTCGTGATCGATCAGAGATGCTACCATGTTAGATTTCAAAGTGTTCTATTAAGGAGAGGAATTCCAGCTACTCTGGAGCGGCCAGAATGGCCCTATATATATCCAAGATACTAAAGGAAAGGATACGTGGCCTTATATTGGCCACGTATGTGACAGAGTCACAAATGGGGATGGTGATCCTGAAGGATGACTATGGATGGGCTAACGTAGCCCAGAATCCAACAGTATGGCAACAGCACCTAATCCGGATCGTCGTCACCATCTAACGCGCAAGCCACTCATCAGTCACGAGCAGTCACCCTGGCCAACATCCGAACGGCAGGGAGGTGATCTTTTGGTCCATTCCCCTTGTTACGGGAAGTGGCGATCTGATTAGTACGGCTTCCACAGCCAATATCAGATCGTCACAGCCATTCAGAGCGGTTGATCAGTTCGATCCCTTTCGAGGTCCAGACGGCATCATTTCGGCAGAAGCACGGAAGACAATTTCATCCCTTCGAGCGACGTCGATCCATCTCCAGGGGACGTGTCAATCCAATTTTATGTGGCTTCCACACCTAGCATCAGATCGTTGCCGCCATCCAGAGCGGCACACAAGGAATACAGGCCGACACGTCATTCACGCAACGAGCCCATCACCGGGGGAGGCGGCAATATGGATAGATAGGCCACTACAGCCAATATCTGATCATCGCGACCGCTCAGAGCGGCAGATCAGACCATTCGCATCCGATCCGGTCACTCAACAGTCACCTACCAAGGTCCAGGGAGGCGGCACGTCGATACCGTCAACCAGGGACGAGATGATCTGATTTCATACTGCAGTCACACCGAATCCAGATCACCAGATCCGCTGAGCGTGGTATCCTTTTTCCATCAGACCAATCCCTTCTTCCGAGGCTTTGATGATCCAGTCGATCGAGATCACCGCGATGTACCCCTTTCGATACGAGACCGACTCCAAAGGACGCGACGATCGATAATACCTGTCAGTCACACCTAATTCGAGATCGTCATCCCCATCGCGTCAGGCGGCAACACCTTTTCGATACATCCACACAGTCACGTTCGCTCAACCAGTCAACCAGTCAACCATTCAACCATTCAACCATTCACCTGGCCACCCAGCCACCCTGTACCAGCACCACGTCCGACTCCAGGGAGGAAGCTGTTCAAGAGCCCTTGCTAGAGCCTGAAAAGCCCCAAATCTAACTTCAGATTCAGAGCGCTACTGCTGCCAGGAGTGCCATAGCACACGTAACTGCCACGAATGCTACTGCTACCCACCTTCATGGATGCCACACACTGGGGAGGCGGCAGGTCATCCAACGCGGTGGGGCAAGACGATCTTGATTCATACGGTGATCACACCGAGACTCGGATCACCACGGCCATCGGCTCCGGAACCCCGACCAGTCACCCCGTCACCGCTCCCACGCAGCAAGGAGGTGTTGTCCACGCAGAGGGACTAGAGGATCGCAGTTCATACGGGTTTATCACCCAACACATGATCGTCGCCACCGGCTAAGCCGACACTAGGGAGGAAGGCGTCGGGTCTCCGTTTGGTGGATTTTTTTTCCCCAGACCCGTGGGGGTCTAGTTGATCATTAGGATCACAACAGGTGGAGGTGTGGTGTTGGAGTCAAGAGTCAAGCGTTGTTTTGGGTTATTTAGATGCCACGGGGTCGTTGTCATCTAAATAAGGGAGGATTGCACTGGGGCAGGAGTCCTGGGGACCAGGTCCAAGCCGTATATAAGGGCTCCGGGCTCCATCCTTTTCGTTCGGCATCCACACACGTACACCTAGACACATACCCACCCAATATACAGTCATTTCCAGTCTCACGATACTTCCTTTCGGTCAACTCGATAGGGCCTATGCCCGGCTAAAGGTTGTTGTGTTGGGCGTGCCCTAGCGAACGGCCTCAATTTAGTATTTTTTTTAAAAAGGCCTATGTTAATCTTTCGGTAAACATTACTTGTAAATTTATCTAGATTTATGAAGATTTGCTTATAATTAATCTTAAAACGTATAAAATTATTTAAAAAGAATAAAGATTACTTTAAATTAGATAAACTCATTAGTTAAAAATATATAGCTTAGAGAGTTAACTTTAAGTAAATTTGTATATAAAAGTAATGAATGTTAAAAAAAAGCTAATCTAAAAATTTATTAGTTTTCAAATAAGCTTCTATTAAGCTGAGGCTGTGTTATTAGCCGCTTAATAACCCATTAGCTTAAAGTAAATAGCTGTTTATTATCAATAGCAACCGGCTAATAGCCGTAAGTTTCGAGCCTCGGCATTATATATTCGTAAGTCATAATTATTATAAACATATTAACGTTAATGTTAATAAGTGTTATAGGACTAGTTTTTTAGTATATAATTAGGCTGGTTATTTAGTTGGTTTTGTTTATAAGCAGCTTTTACGCAGCTTTTGCGTTGGGTTTTTTTAAAAAAAAAATTAACTAGATAACAAATACCTTTTTAGCCTTTACTTTATATATATATATAATAACTTGTCTTTTATATATTATTTAGCCCTTTTTAACGGGGCGGTTCTTCTGTTAATTATACGATTACGATTATTATATATTTAAGAGTATTTTGACTATTATAAAGTCAAAGGATAATATTAACACGTTCAAGTAGGTTTTGCGAGGAGTTTCTAAATTGCGTTCGCGTAGTAAACTTAACGCTTAAAAGATCGAAATTATATGCAAGATTTCCGTTCATAATAACGTTATCGGTTTAAATCGAGCTTAGCTTTATTACGTTTAGAGATGTTTTACGTACGATTTATCTTAAAAGATCCTTTTTTTGTATATAAAGAAGACGATTAAAAATCGAAACGCTAACTTCGAAGATTTTATTGTTTATATTTAAAAGACGTTTAATAGGGCGAATAAAGAGTCAAAGGCTGATTAATGCTTGATTAAGCTACGTTAAAATAGCGCTTAAACGGTATCGGAGTATATTTTGCTTTTTAAAGAGGTGTTGTGCAAGGCGAAGGAAGACGATTGGTTAGATGAGGTTAAGATTATGCTGTTTATTTTTTGCTTAAATATTTCTACGAGGGCTAAGCTGGATACAGAAGCTTGGCCCGAGAAGTAGGATGTTTTTAAGTAGCTTTTGCGCCGTTTAAAGACGTTATTTATAAAGTTAAAGTTTATTACGAAGGAGATTTAGTTAAGGGCTTTCATTTATATCTTTATAAGTGAGCTTATAAAGAGTAACGTTATTAGCACGCGAGAAAGCCGATTACGAGCGTGTTATACGTGTGAAAAGGTCGGTTATTTGGCGAGAAATTGTTTTAACGGCGGTGATAAATTGAAAGGCTTTAGCTTACGTGTTAACCCTTTAAAAGTAGCTGTTGTACGCACAAGTAGCGCTAAGAAAAAGGCAGTTATTATTTATTAAGACGTTTTTAATCGATTGAAAGAACTGGATGTTTCCGACGTTATAAAGAAATTAAATAAAAGAGATGATTAGACGGATACGTAAACAAAGCTAAGTAGTATGCGAGTAGTTTAGCTGGTAAGGGTATTGTAGTTAGTTGATGTAAAGGATAAGTTCGTGTTGCCTGCAAGCGTTGTATAAGCTTTTAGAAACGAACGACTTGGTGATAAAAGCTGAATTTTAAGCAAGATTATTGTTATTTTAATAACTGGCAGTATTGTTATCTAAGAAAGAGTAGCTTTATTTTATTGTATACATAGTCGGCTTAAAAGGAGTATTAGTTGCGCGCATGTAATGGTTATAAAGTGATGGTAAGCACGCAACACTTTTTTAATAAAGCGAGAAAGATTATCATCGTTGCAAGAAGAGGGGTAATGTTATAAGACTAGTTTTTTAATGGGCAATTAAGCTGTTTACTTAGTTAGTTTTATTTATAAGTAGCTTTACGCAGCCTTTACGTTTAACTTCTTTTATTTCTTTCATTTTAGTCAAATAATAAACACTTTTTTAGCCCTTACTTTATACGTACGTATAATAACCTGCTTTTTATAATAAGTTTAAGAAGTTACGATATTACCGACGATAAACATAGCCGGGTGTTAATATAATTAATTATGTATGTTATTAGTTTATTCTAAGTTATAAGTAAAGCTTGTTTTTTTAAATACGTTTATTACGTTTATTTTACGCGTTTCTTGTTATTTAAAAGATAAAGTTGTTTTAACGCGGATTATTTTCAAGTTTAACTTTAAAAACGCCGACAAAAGTATGGATCGGTATTTAAATATAAAGATCGGATTGTTAATCGCGCTAGATAAGCATAAAAACTTGTTATTCAAACGGGTAAAGGCTTAAATAAGTAGGGAGTAATTAAGATGCTTACTCAAAAGGGTCCGCCGCCCATGGGACAGTGACCTCCGGCCACAGATTTCGGTCCTCTCTTGTCAGGCGCCGATTGGTGTTTTGCGCTTCGATGAGCTGTCGTGCTCCCCGTGACTACCAACGGCAGCTGGCGAACCGATAAGCAAGACAACGGTTAGCCTCGGTCTCTTCGAAACGAATGATCTCTTCTTAGTCAAAATCAAGCTAGCCGAATGCGAATACGGTAGCAAGCGCTTCCAGCTCGATAAGCAGCTTCGGACCGGCAATTTTGAGAACGCAAATCGCGTCGGATTATTCTATCGCTACTACCTTATATCTATTCAGCACTACCGTACCTAAGCGGGTTGGTTAGGGGGGGGGGGGGGGGGGGGGGCGGGATTTAAAAATCATGTTAATACATGTTTAGTTATATTATCATGTTAGAAAGGTACATTTATGTTAACAGCATTACATGAAAATGTTAAAGCGTTTTGCTAGCTATTTAAGTCATTATCTAATTTTCGGTATAAAAGCTAATTCAAAGTGACGTTTAAGCTACACAGCCGTATTAGCCACATTATAATATTAAAGCCACAATATAATATTGAAGTAATATAGAGCCTTTTATAATAATGTAAAGCTGTGGTTATATAGGGTTTAAGTGCGGAAGATTAAAAGAAATAATAACTTAAAAGAAATTTCTTACATAATCTTTTTCTAACCCGTAATAACCCGCCTTTGTGATATACTAATGTAAAGTTTTTATAACTAAAACTTAAAAACCTTTTATAATATTATACAACCGCTAGTATTATATACGTGTACGTGTATATAAAAGCGTGCGCGCTTATATTTTAAAGCTTTTAATAATTTTTAAAGGTCTTTTTTTTGTTCTTCAATGCACAGAGCACTAAGCTATGTTTAGTCACACATTATGTTAAAGCTACAAAATGATGTTGGTGCCACAATGTCATGTTGAGCCGAAAATCATGTTGGGCTAACCATGATGGTCCGACTTGACCATCATACACATCTGGCAATTGATATTTTAATCAATGATTTCCGACTAGAATTGGTGGTACGGCCTTGCCATCGTGTCTTCTGAACTTGATAGCCGTCTCAAATCTAAAGAAAATCCATTTCTACTCGCAATGATGTTGGAGCCCTAACATCGTCCTAACATCATTATAACACGGTGTTTTAAGACCCCCCCACCCGCGTAAGTAAGCCTGCGCCCTCTAATAGTGAGGCCTCCTCTAACCTGCTTAAGGAAGATGTCGACCAAGGCCCGGTTTCAAAACTCACGTGCTTGTCATTTAAAGGCAATAGGCTATTATGCGTCACTTTGCCTACCTGTTTAATACTCTTAAGCAGCATGAGGTAGTCGCAATAGTCGGGTAAGTTGGTGATAAATACACTGCAGTTGTCCCCGTCATCGATATTAGCACTTTGGTTCGCCGGGTCCTGCGCATTGCCGCTGTAGTTAGAAGTTCTTACTAAACCCTGCGCGTTGCTGTCGGAAGCCCACGGGCACTGTGACGAAGGATGACGAGACCCTCGAGATTCATCGACATTAGGAGCGGCTGCTGGATAACTGGCTGGCTATATATAATGTGGTTCCTCAATGTCCTCTACTCTGTTGAGAGTAGGCCGGGGTAACTGAGTGTTAGATATTGAAGTGTTCTGGTATTAAAAGGAAGAAGAAAGAGAAGTCTTCTGGTTTAGGAGAGAAGCCCCTTATATAGCCAGATGTGATGGATTTGCCATCCATTATGGTGTGTGCGCTCCCACCACGTGACTTGGTGGGGTGGACGCGTTGCCCCGCTGCACAGCTGGATAGATAGAAGTGGGACGGAATTGGGGATCTATCTCCCCACCAGATTTTGGTAGGATGTTAGATCCTTCTTCCTTTTCCTTACCAGAGTATTTTTGTACAATACGAGTGATTGATGGGCATCTTTGTCCTGTGCTTGTATCTGCTCCGTGACACCAGTTATAACTCTAATAATAATTCTTTAAGTTAAATAGACAATTATAACAAATACCGGTTATTTAAACTAATTAAAAGCCAGCATTTTAGTGCTATTAATGCCTTATTAAGCTACCTTTAAAAAGCTTAGCTTTTAAACTAGCTTTAAATCTACTATTATAATGTTTTAACCGACTTATTATAATAATTAACACGCTTTTTTAGACAAAAGTTATT